AAACGTATTTAATGCAGACATCGAGAAGATGTATAGGCAAATTATGATGCATCAGGAGCATACCCTATTTCAAAGAATTATTTTCAGAGAATCCCCGGTTGAAGAACTTCGGGACTACGAACCTAAGACCGTGACGTTTGGAGTAAACTGCGCTCCATATTTGGCAATAAGGACGCTACACCAGCTTGCAGATGATGTGAAAACGAGATTTCCACTGGCAGCAAAGATTTTGAAACAGTATATGTATGTCGATGACGGCCTGGCTGGAGCCCACGATTGCACAACTGCAATACAAATGCGAGATGAGGTAACTGGAGCTCTTAACACCGCCAGCTTCCCCCTTAGTGGACGTCGAATTGTAAGAAGATTTTGACAGGACTACCCAAGGCGCACATATACAAGGAGAATTTCTTGGAGCTTGACGACATGAGTGAGACAAAACTGTTGGGAATCCGTTGGAACGCGGTACATGACATGTTTCACTTCACCGTACAGCCGATCCCCCGGAAGCAGGAGTATACCAAACGAGAGGTTTTATCCTGCGTAGCAAAATTTTCGACCCAGCTGGATGGCTCGAGCCAATTGTAGTGGTAGCAAAGATCTTCATGCAGGAGATGTGGCTAACCAAAATAGACTGGGATGACAGTCTAAACCTTTCTGGATAACTATGAGCATATTCAGAAGATAAAAATCCCCCGATGGACTCATTTTACGCCATGGGACGCAGTACAGTTCCATGGATTTTGCGATGCCTCTGAAAAGGTATATGCAGCCGCACTATATATTAGGGTACGCGATCGCACATCAAACTAGCTGGTGGGTAAAAAAAAGTAGCACCAGTAAAAACGGTGTCTCTCCCCCGGTTAGAGCTCTGCGGGGCATTATTACTGGCCGAACTCATTAATACTTTTATTCCGCAGTTTGAAGTCACGCAGCCAGTAATATACAAATGGACCGACTCCACGATCGTACTCTCATGGCTTAGAAAACCGGCATGTACATGGACAAAGTTTATAGCTAACAGAGTCGCAAAAATTGATGAGCTGGTTAGAGTATCAGGGTGGAATCATGTGGAGTCTGCGGATTATTCAGCGGATCTTGGCAGCCGAGGCGTGTCCCTCCAGGATGTACTCTCAAGCACTCTGTGATGGTAAGGCAATACATTTGGAGGCCACCAGCGATTTGTCTACCGCCACATTCTAAGCAGCTTTTTCGCGTTTTTTGTCCAGACGCAGCTGCCAGCAGAATTTGTATTTGGACAATGTAACCAACTTTGTAGGTATTGCGACAGGATTTTAAACTCTTTGTCTCTGCAGCGGCCAATAGCACAACCCAGATATACGCTCATCAGGGCATTACGTGGCATTTTGTACCTCTGGGAGCACCTCACATGGGAGGGCTCTGGGAAGCGGGGGAAAAAGCTTCAAGATGCATTTCAGGAAAGTAGCGAACAACATGCGCTTTACCATTGAGGAGCTCTCCACGCTTCTGGCAAGAATCGAATCTTGTCTTAATTCACGACCAATCAGCCATCTCTGAAGATGCGGAATCAATGGCACCTCTAACCCCAGCACACTTTTTAATTTGCACTCCGCTACTGGCAACCGCTGAACCCGAAACTAAGGAGAACCCGATGTCTATTGTCAACCGGTGGCAAAAGATCAAAGCGATTCACCAGACATCTGCAGAAGGTGGAAAGCAGAATACCGGAAGGAATTGCAGGAGAGAGTGAAATGGCACTCCCCCAACGAAACCTCGAAGTTGACGATCTAGTCGTCGTCAAAGAGGATAGGTTAGGTTAGGTTACACTGGCCGGCTGTTGCGCCTTACATAGACCCGTTGGTCCTTTGTAGTGCCAGATGGAGGTCCGTTTTACTGCGGTCTAAAGTAGTCGTCGTATAGGACGTCAACGCTTTTTGCGAAGTTCAAGAGTGCCTTAATATCCAGTTTTGAAACCTCCTCTAGTCCTTTAAACTGCGAAGCTCCGACATAACTAAGACGATTTCTAGCTAAGGCCGGACAGAAACAGAGGAGGTGTTCTAACGTCTCACTCATGCCTTCCTCCCTGCACTTCCTGCATGCGTCACTGTTACTAATGCCCATTCTGCTTGCGTGGGATGCCAGTAGGTTGTGGCCCGTCATTAGGCCGACAACTGTCCTGCACTCCCTACGTGACCGTGTAAGCAAGAAATGGGTGTTTCCTTTGCTGCTATTGCACATGATCTTGGAGGTTTTGCATGTCGCTAATGCGTTCCATCTCCCCCTGATCCGGCACCCAGCTCTTTCGGAAATTTCATTGTAGATCGTTTTTAGCGACTTTTGTATTTCCCGTACTGGTTCGCTAGCAAGACGGATGGCACTTTTGGCAATCTCATCAGCTATTTCGTTGCCTAAAATGCCCTTGTGGCCTGGAACCCAGTATATATGCAGCCGTTTACTCTCGGCCGCCCTGTCTACTGCTTCCCTGCTTCTAAGGACATTTTCTGACGCAATACGATGTGAGATTATGGCCTTAATCGCCGCCTGGCTATCGACATATATATTGATATTTTTTATATAATTTCCTGCGTTGCTAGCTATCTCAGCAGCTTTCCCTACAGCGAAGACTTCCGCCTGGAAAATACTGCAGTACTCTGGAAGCTTGAAGGGTTGCCTGAGGTCTAGCTCGGCGCAATAGACTCCGGCGCCCACTCCATCAGCCATTTTTGATCCATCCGTGTAGATGTTATACGTTACGCCGGCGGGTCGCGTGCTCTTGCGCCATCCGCCCTCCTTAACCGTAGCTTTAAACCTTCTTCCCCAGATGAAGCGTGGGGGTATGTGGTCTATTTTGTCCTCCATCCCCCTGCCTATCGAGCTGTGCCCGAAGGTTCTTGCGGAGAATTCACCTAAGGCCATCAATCTCGTGGCGGATTTCGCTGCAGTGCTCTCCACCGCGATGTCGATTGGTAATAGGCCAAGTAGCCTTTCAAGTGCCGCCGTTGGAGTGGTCCTTAGCGCTCCTGTTATGCACAGTGCAGCGAGCCGCTGTAATCGCTCCAATGGTTTTCTATACGAAATTTTGTTTGCAGCGGTCCACCATACCAGAGCACCGTAGAGCAATATGGGCTTAACTACCGCTGTGTAACACCAATGCATGAGACCAGGGGATAGGCCCCATCTGGTGCCCAGCATCTTTTTACATGCGTAAAGGGCACCACTGGCCTTTTTCACCCTTTCCTCCACATTTAGCTTCCACATCAGTTTGCTGTCCAAAATTACTCCCAGGTACTTGGTGTGATCCTTGATTGATAGCTCCGCCCCGTTGAGCCTCGGGGGTTCCCACGCGGGGATTTTGTACCTTCTTGTGAACAGTACCGCATCCGTTTTGTCAGCATTTACCTCTAAGTTGACTGTTGTCGCCCATCGATGTACGACCCTTAGAGCGCTTTCCATTACGTTACTGATGGTGTCTAGGAATTTCCCCGTAACAATTATAGCTATGTCGTCCGCAGAGGCAATTAGTCTGGGTGCTTTCCCTTCGAATTTTCCCAGAAGCTCATTCGCTACGAGTAGCCACAGGAGTGGTGACAGAACACCACCCTGAGGAGTTCCTCTATGCGCTAGTCTGAGCAACCTGGCTTCGTTCCACTCCGCCTTAATTTTCCTGCAGCTCAGCAGGCTTTTTATCCATAGTAGGATGGCAGACTCTACCTGGGCTGCTTCTAGGCTTTCCATTATTGCCTCATAGGAGACATTATTAAATGCCCCACTTATGTCCAGAAAGACCCCTAGGGCATATTCTTTATGCTCCAGAGCTTTTTCTATTACCGCGGTTAGTGAGTGAAGTGCAGTCTCAGTGGATCTACCCTTCGTGTAGGCATGCTGCGCCTTTGATATGCTGGCCGACGGCAGCTTATCCCTAATGTAGGCGTCCAGAATCTTTTCGAGCGTCTTTAGAAGGAATGAAGTTAGACTAATTGGTCTGTATTCTTTCGAATAGAGGGGATTTCCCTTGCCCGCCTTCGGTATGAATACGACCCTCGCCTCTCTCCAAAGGACAGGCACATAATTTAGTCTTAAACATCCCTCGTATATTGTTTTCAAGTATGGTGTCAGCACTGCGGAAATTTTTTGCATCATGGCTGGAAAGATACCGTCTGTGCCTGGGGACTTAAACGGCCCGAAGCCATCGATTGCCCACCGTATTTTTTCTTCCGTTATGATGTCCGGGGGGACATTTTCCACGCTATCTCCTAGAAGTTGCAGATCTATGCTGTCTGTACACCCCGGAAAGTGTGTGTTGACTAGGTCTTCCAGTGAGTCCTCACTGCTTCCAGTCCACTCTCCACATTTTTTACGTAGTAACCTTGGATTAGTCGGGTTCTTGGATAGCAATTTCCTTAGCCTGGCTACCTCGGTTGTTTTTTCTAATTCGCCGCAGAAGCTCTTCCACGACTCCCGCTTGCATTTACGAATCTCTTTCTTGTATTCCTTAAGTACTTCCTTGTATTCCATCCAGAAGAACTCGTCGTCGGCTACCTTGGCCAGTTTGAAGAGATCCCTAACATTTTTCCTGAGTGCTCCGAGCCCCCTGTTCCACCAAGGTGGCTTTGAACCTCGCTTGGCATGTAGCGGAGGGCATGCGATGCAATAAGCTTTATTTAGAGTGTTGGTAAGTGAGACTACCAGTTCCTCCAATTCAGAGTGGGAGTCACTTACCCTATGCTTGGTTAAATTCTTCCTCACTACCCTTTCATACAATTCCCAGTTTGTATTCCTGTGATTTCTGAAGGTTTCGCTTTTTGTACGGGCTGAGAATTTTACCTGAAATCCTACATACCTATGGTCAGAGAACGAGGGTGTACTAAGCACCTCCCAATTCTGTACTCCGATTCCCCCACTAGTGTGGAGTGTTATGTCAAGGACGTTCTTCGAGGTAGGGCCAATATAAGTTGGTTCCTCACCCCGGTTAGCTATATCTAAATTACTTATTAATATAAAGTTTAGTAAAGACTCACCCCTTTCGTTGGTATCTCCACTCCCCCATACTGTGTTGTGCGCATTGGCATCCGCGCCTATGATGAGTGGGCGTTTCGCCTTCTCGGCCTCTCCCACCAACCTCCGGAGCTCGTTTGGTGGCGCCTCCTCGTCGTGAGGCATGTAACAAGATGCAAGGAGTATTGTGTCATCCTTGCCATCCTTCACAGCTACCACCGTCAGATCATCTGAAGAGAAATTAAGATCAATATAAGAGTGTATACTTTTCTTTACCAGTATAGCTGTTCTTACCCTGTTTGTTGCACTCGGGATGTGCGTATAGTAAGTTTGCGACTTTAGTCCAGCTACCACGTTTCCCGACGCTATCCATGGCTCCTGGACTAACGCCGCATCGTAGCTGATCCTCTCTAAATTGAGGAGGAGCTCGGCAGAGGCGACCTTGCTTTTATGCAGATTTATTTGAAGAACCTTCACTGCAAGGATCAGGATTCTTTTCGGGGTCGGGTAGAATCTCCGGATCGCCCTTCTCGGTCTCCTGGAGCTTCAAGGTGGCCTCCAGGATCTCTCCCAGATCCTTCTCGACCTCTCGCTCCTCCAGCGTGTTGGCATTGTTATCGGCCAGGCTTCGCTTCTTCAGGCGAAGGTATACGCTACCTATGCCCCACGCCATCTTCCCGAACCTAGCGTATAGTATGTCTTCGGCCGGCTTGTTGATTTGGAGGATGTAATTTTGGCTGCCATCCTCCTTACAGGAGTTGGTGACCTTTAACACCCTCCAATCTCCCGTCGGCACGTCTGGGTTCTGTCTCTGCAGAAGCCGCAGCGCATTCTCCGGTTTTACCGTGCGGGGTATGAGCACCTTCGCTTTCGGTATGGATGGTATGCAGCTGCGGTCCACAACCTCCAAGACGGCGCCCTCCCACAGGCCCTGAAGCGTCGCAACAGCTTCCTTTACCCATAGTAGAGAGGGATCGTCCTTGCATTTTATTATTTTCACCCCATTTAGCCACCCCGCACCATCGAAAGTTGGCATGGTCGTGGTGGGGTCCCCATCCATTTTTGCGACAAGCGCATCCAGCAGCTTATGTTCTACTGCTCCCCAGCGCTCCTGAGAGATTTGTCCCAGCGGATTGCTCCGGTCTATGAGTGCCACGATAAGGTGTCTTCTGGCTACCTCACTGGCCATTGCCGCCGCTCTCGATGTAGTCGGTCTCTCTAGATCGAGCCTGACGTTTGGCTTTGCAGCGTCGTCTCTGCGCCTCGATTTTTTGGCTGGCCTTGCTGTCTCGCTTTCAGCTGACCGCTGCCTTTTAGCCGCGATTCCTTCCTCTATCCGGTTTGCGAATCCCGGATCCGTGGCAGTGAATCGTGGCCTTGCCGCGTAGTACGCCCGGCCTTCCTCCATTTTCTCCTTAGCCCAAGCCAACCTTTCCTCCTCTTCCTTCGTCCGGTTGGACTTGCAGCTAAGTCTCTCGTGGACTTTGACCGCCGCCTTGTATATTGCTTTTGCCTTCAACCCCTCCTTACTGGGTTTTGCCCTAGGCCTTTTCTTTGATGCCGAACAAGCACCTTTGGCATCCCCCGGAGAGCGTAGCAAGGCCTCCTCTTCTTGCGTGCAAACGCTCTCACCGCTTTCGAGGTCCGAGTCTTCGTGGACTGTGGCACCCCTGCGCTGTAGCGTCGCTTTGGCGGTAACACTACAACCGCTGTGAACCGCTCCCTTCACAGCGGAGGTGTGGCCGCTGGCGACACAGCAAGTAGACTCGCTGTGCCCGCCGGTGGTAGTAGCCACTTCTCCCACCGACGTTTGGGCTGATATCCCAGCCCGCTCTTCTTCCTTTCTGGCCTCCATGATGAGTTTTTATGTCAGGGAACCTCTACCCCTAGCGTTTTATACCTACCGCCAGGTACCTCGTTAGCAATGGCAGAAGTAGGCATACACCCCCCTCCCCCAGTTTCATATGCAGAGCAAAGCACTAGGAAGAGAAGGATGGATACGTATTCCTGCCTTCGCTAGACGCCGCCTGCTCCCACCGCCAAGACCCGCTCTAGGTACTGGCCTAGGTGCTAAGCCATCGCGGTGACAGCAGCGACGCCCATTGCCCAGTCGGCATCCGCGGGGAGGATTTAGCTAAGAGGATTTTTGCCGACCAAAGAGGATAACCTTCCCCCCAATTGAATGACGACGAACGGCACGCGGAGTCATAACTAGACCATTTGTAAAATTGGTACTTTTGCCAGATTGACACAACAAAATAATAATCGTATCTCTCTTTCCAGAACTCAATAACGCAAAATGGTACGTGCTTCAAAAATCACACCCCAAACTCCCAAGGGCCAATATCGCTGCCCAGTGTGCCGCAGCAACCACTGCTTGAATTTCGTCGGAGATGCGCAGGATGGAACCAGCCGAGACTGCGTGCTGTCGTCGTGCACCGTACTTCCTCCCGGAGCTGCGAGCGTTGCCAAGACCGGCACCATAGTCTCCTCCACCTGGGCGAGGAACCCCGGGGCGAGGAAGTCCTCCCTCCTGTACTAGATGAAGCCGAGGTACAGCAAAGGCGACCATCCCGACCGCACAACGCCCGACCATTGTCGGAATCGAGCGGAGAAGGCGAGGTGCTCGAGATCGAGGCAGACGAGGAAGATCTCCATCCAGCATTGTATGATGCTCCCGCTCCTAACGGGCCGCCGGCATTCAGACCTCCTCTGTCGGGTGTCCTATCGGCTATACAGCGAGCCCCAGCAACGAGGTCGAAGCACCGAGGCACACACCGACGCCCACGGCGATCCCAGCAACAACACCACCGCCGTGGTGGGAGAGACGCCCGAGAGCGGATTACGGGCACGGCCTGCAGCGCTCATGGGCTCTCTGTCCTCATACCTACAGTAGCGGTTAAGATAAGCTCCCGGGGGAGGACGCAAATAGTGCGCGCCATCGTCGACCCAGCACAGCCCAGGTCGACAATATCGTTCCAGCTGGCACGCCAACTTCAAGTTTTGCCACGGGGCTATGCAGATATGTGCCGGCTCACTCTTCGAGGATGGCACGAGAGACTGGCGATCTGCGCCGACGTCCAACCAGGCCTCTCCCGGGTAACCCCCGCTCGCACGCTGGACGCCAGAATCACCAGCGAGTTTGACAATTTTCCGGCTCGCCGACCCGTCGTTCTACCGGTCCAGCGCTGTATCACTAGTTTTAGGAGCGGAGGTATATGCGATGATTCTGCGTCCGGGACTCATGCCAGCCACACCCAATCCACCCACGGCACAGAACACCATATTTGGATGGATGATCTCGGGAGGCACCATCTACTAGTGGACAACAGTAACCGATTGGCCTGAAAATCAAAATGAATTGTTAAAGAAAAATGAATTGAAATATCTAGTTAAGTTTATTGCAGGAGGAGGGCCGCATGTTTACGCTAGCCCCCTTCACCTTAAGTATGTCTATTAATTAGAGAATATCACTTCTAGATGTCGCTGTGATCTGTGCGGGAACAGTTACTCGTTACTCGAGTTCCTTTTTCTCGAGTCCTGTTACTCGCCTCGGAAGTTGGGTTTCGCCTTCTGCGATCACCCAACACTCTGCCACTTTGGAAGAGAACTCCGATCACTCAGGTAAGGTCCTCTAATTATTAATACATTGTATATATTTTTGTTACAGCTATTTTATATATACATAATAAAGACCTGTCCGTTAGGCGCTCTTTCATACATTTATAGTGAACAGTGTGTTTTATTTTAATTTGTTAACGCTTAAGTCAACCGTCGAAGGACTTAAGGGATTCGGCAACTCCTCGACCCTCGTTTGCCACGGAATTCAAGAGGAATTCTCGGCCCCCATTTCACCCCGTCCCGAACACCCATAACTTTTCTTTCAGATTAAAAAGGTCACAATTTTATTCAACAATTTTTTCTAATGACAAAATGTGGTGGAAAACAACAATAATTTACAATTACAAGTTGTAGCAGATATTTCGGATATCTCCTCATCAGACGTCTTCATCGAGTTCACTGGGATTTTACATAACAAAAACTCTTAACTTGAAAACCATTGCAAATATTTAACAAATCAACATGCACTCACTTTTGATCGCCAGTGTACCTCATATTATCTTATTGAATTTAAAATAATTTAGTTAGTTTGTAACAAATATGAATTTGTATTATAATCTTTATGTTTATGCCGTGCGCAAGTGCTTAAAAAAGATACCAGATATTGATGGAAAATTTAAAGAGTTTTTAATTATTTGGTTGATAGGCGTGGTCGCTATTCGATGTTGCCTATTTTATGACCGAAAGTTTTTATTCATTCAAACATAGTTTGTACAAAATTTCATCCTGATATCTTTCTTAGTTCTTAATATAATAATTAAATTACCCTACTAGAGTGAATTGGACCATTGTGCGACGGTGGTACTGAGGATTTTCTTTCTCACCCGGTCGTGTTAGCGGACATCGAGCGGGTCAACTTTACTATTCTACCAAAAAAACCTGCATGAATGGAAACTAATATGTATGTGAATTAAGAAGCAAAGTTTAAAGAAATTAATTAGTTATATATGAGGCCATGAGGGCCAGAGGAGCCTATCAATAAAATTTTTTTTAGTAGTATGAGAAAGAGGGATCTATAAAAAAGAAATGCGGTCTTTTACTAAAAAGTTCATTGCACCTGGGTGATGCTACATATTTTAGTAAAATAATTGTAAATGGACGTGCCTCGGGCTATTAACGTTTCGATTCTAGTAAAGCATTTTAAGGTGCACCTCAACTTTGAAATGTCAGTTAGGCTACTATAGTGTTCATGGCCTCATATATAGTGTGTTATGGTTCCAATGAATAAAATAAATTTTTAACGATATTTCACTGTGTCCTCTTCTCCATTGTAGATAAGTTGGTCTGCTTACCATAAGCATATATGTACATATGATTGTAGCGCATACTATTTAAATATAAATTTCCTTATACTAGGCGTACAGTTTTTAATAATCTAATTTTTCTGTAATCTAATCTTCAAAATCCAATAGGTCCCCGCGACGCTCGAGTCAAACTGCCAGAAGAGGAAAAATTTTCTTCTTCACGTTATTTATTGGCGCTATAACTGTCTAAGCGATTTTGGCCGAGTCCAAAACAGCACGCCAGTCATTTCACAACTGACATCATTTGAAAATGCCAAGAGTAGCAAAGTCCTTTTCCACCTGGTCTTTCCAATGCAAAGGAGGCCTTCCTCTGTTACCAACATCGCGGCCCGCGTTGAATACTTTCAGAGCAGGAGCCTTTCGGCCCATCCTAACGACATGGCAAAGCCAGCGGAGCCGGTGAATTTTAATTCACTGCACTATGTCGATATCGTTGTAAAGCTCATACAGCTCATCGTTAAATCG